GTCTCGGCCACTGTTGATGCCAAGTCCACTTCATCCACTTGTTGATGGAATCGAAGTTTTTCGGCCACAGTTCACGACTCATGACTGTAGATGAGAATATGAATGAATATCAACTTGAACACTGACAACGTAGTCTTCAGGTCCAACTCTAGTTTGTTACAACGGTTAGGGTTCATTTACGCAGAACGCCACTGGATAGTTCAATCCATCGATCGATCTTTTCCTCAAATTTTGGCATCACTAGTAAATACGACTCCGAGAAAACTGAATTTCTTTGTTAAACTGAAGAGAGAAACGGACAGAAGAAAAAGCACTAGGCTTTTCGTTTTCGATGCGTTCACACGCATGCCGGTTACGTTGCACTCGGCTGCTAATCTTTCTAGGGAGCAATATAGATCAGTTTCAGAAGATACCAATAAAACAAGGTCGTCTGCAAACAGTAACCTTCTCGGTTCCACATCTCCTACACCGATAAACTCATCGCCTTGGCTGCTCCTAGTTATTCTTTCCATGTACAACACAAACAGGAGAGGAGACAGGAAGCAGCCTTGGGGGAGACCAGTGCCAATTAATTAACCATGACCCAGCATCCACTCTCAGCATACTGTAATTGGATATCCCGGAGCAACTGGCCATCGATTCCATATGTTCGTAAGCATGTCCATGAGCTGTTATGCAGGATCTGGTCATAAGCTGTCTGGTCCGGTCCACATAGGACATATAAACCATATGTACGAACACCCGCGATTTCTCAACAATCTGGCATAGAGCGAGTATCTAGTCAGATGTGGTTTGGGCGGGACGAAACCACGCTCTCTTCCTGCACTTTGCAATTAGTCATTCCGCGGCAGCTCCTTTATAGCACTACTGGGCAGACTTTATCCGGGAAGCTCAGTAAAGTAATACCTCGATAACTGTTGTCCCTCTTCTTGAACGACGGCACTACAACTCCGGATCTCTAGATTGCTGGCATCCTTCCGGTAGCCACTGCAGTTTGATAGAAACGAGTAGGTCAGCAGATACCTTGTTCGCCTATTGCTTTTAGCATTTCAGGATGGATTTCATCAAGTCCTGCAGCCTTTCAACTTTTCAAGCTTTTCACAGGTTGGGTGATTTCATCCGCAGAAATACTAATATCCGTTCCCTGCTGCTCTTCAAACGAGTCTTCCTGCGGTTGCTCGGGGTTAATGAGTTTGTCAAGGTACTCTCTGCATGGCTAAAGAATGTAGAAAGAGCGTGTCCAGACCTGTCCTTAAAGACTCTTAGACTGCCATTCTTTTCACCTCATAACCCGCGAATGGTCTGCCAGAATACCTTGTTTGCCGTCTGGAAATTTGACTGCAATGTCAAACCGAAGTTCTCTCAAGAATCAGCTTTGATTTTCTTCAGTGCCTTCGCTGCCGCCTTGCGCGTTTCGTCACTCTGCATGAGTTGAAGGACCTTTTCTTCCAAGCTATCTCTTGAATGCAGTCTTCTTGGTGACAGCCAATTGAACCAGGTAGCAGGTCAACCCATTTTAAGCCACCGTTAAACTGCTTATGCTCAGTTTTCTTATCAACGGTCATCAATGGGATCTGTTCAAAACGTCGTGCGATGTTGTTTGACAGTTTTACCCTCTTATTTGAGAAAGATGCTTTCCAACTGATTCTGTGGTGCTTCCGCTATCGAGTCCTCGCAAAGTACTCCATCGTTTACAGCGGACAGTGCCACCAGAAAGTTGATGATCGTTGGCAGCTCTCCGACTCTCTTAGCGTGAGTATCCATTGCAGACCGTGGTAAATGAGACAGTGGAATGATCAAATCGATTATCGACTTTGCGGAAAAGCTTCACTATAAGAGTAACGATGACCCAAGTTCTGACGCCTGAAAGTGTTCATAGCAGACAGTCACTTGTTGCCCAAAATCGCAACGGCTTCATGCTGTTACTGATGAAGTCGATATGGCCGCTATTTCCAATCACATTCGAATTTTCATTAACCGCTCCGCTACTTGCATTGAAACAGCCCGTTAGAAATATGGATTGCGTAGTCAGCAATACGTACAGAGCAAAGTCCATTTCCTCAAAGGACTCATATTTTCCTTCCAAATTTGGTCATAGACCTGCAACAAGGTCAAAGCATTAGGCTCTTGTAACTTCAGTCAAATGACTGTTACTCTTCCGCTGACAGGCTTCCTTTCAATCATTCTGTCAGCCAAACTGGATTCTAGAAGAACACCAACACCGGTCTGAGAGTGCGTCATGATGTCGATACCTGAGAACAATAGCTTCCACCCGCAGAGGTTCAGGGTTCCAGTCTTAGCGCTTCGTTGACTAGTTTAACAATGTCGAATTGGTACTTGGCTCCTAAACTAACTCCTGCTCATACCCTCTGCGTGAGGATATATTCCAATTTCCGACTGTAAGCTCCCACTGGTGGCGTCGTTCTACCTTGCCTTTTCTGACGTCCTATAATGACATCGTGTTGTCTGCCTATTGCGCTCAGAACGGGTAGCGACTCCGTTGCTAACTGGTATCTCCGTCGTCGTTCCGTCGATCTTCGCAGCCGCTGTCGTGTTGCTGCGCCCCTGGCTGCGAGAAGACGATATGCAGGTTCTCATCGTCGACTATACGCAGCCTAGCTGAGTCTCCAATAGCCTACACGGTTGTTCGTAATTCAGACGACAACCGAGTCAGCATAATATTCAACGACGGTAATGCCTCAAGGGACATGTGGCAGATTTACCTACCTCACCACGATTCACAACCCTCTTTCCCGATCTGGACTTGGAACCGGCAATGTCAGAGCTCCTCACGGTGGCTTATTAGCTATTTTCAGATTAAGTTAGAAGTCAGCTGTGCAGTACACGTTGCTGCTGAACGACTTGGTTCCGCCAGCTGTGGTAAAACAGGGATGCATTAGGCGTACATTTGTTACTCAAAGAAATCACAATCACGAAACTGCACGCCAGTTTGCAGAATCGAAGAAAGATGACGCAAAAAACGGAACACTTATGCCGCTTCAGCCAGGAGTCCAAAATCCGCAAAGTTAAGAACGAAATCAACCTTGAAATTCGTCAAGCGTTTACTTGCTGCTGTAAAGTGGCACAAATTGTACAGTACAGATTAATCTATTGCTCTGTTATGCCTAGATTTTCCACGTATTATTACCTTTGGATATTCGTTACAAAACACCTCATATTAACAACACTTAAGTGTGCAACAAGCAGGGATTGCCACTTCTCGACGATGTGTACAGTTCCTCTGTTCTGTCCGTTGGTTTCCAAAGACGAATGGTCATTATCTCTTATCACGTAATATTAACAATGCAGACACGTGCAACTATTCCGCTATTTCAGCATATAACTTAAGGAAAACCGCGGGCATATAAACGGGACAATTTGCTGGAGCGGGCTGAGAAGTCGTTAAATAGTTCCATACTGTCCTTGTTCCGAGGCTGCAGTTCAATGAAGCAACAGTACAGTTCTAATGTCCAGCAAGTGCAACTGACAATCTTTCACTATTATATCTTGTTTTTCAAGATCCTCGAGCTGTATGGGGTTAATGAATTGCTGTCCTGCATTCATTTAAAGAAAACAGTCGTTGTTTCACCGAAGTGTCTAAAAGTATTAGCGCATTCAAAGCAAGGCTAACTGGGTAAATTAAATATACTGTACAACAAATAAGGATTACAGACGAATATGTAGAGAATCGTTTATGTAACAAAAATCTTCGACTGCAAATAATGTTTTTAGTGCTGTCGTTAGGTTTCAAACCTCTGAACCAGCTCAATTTCAACAGGAAATGCGTCAAACTAAACAGATGCCGTCTTCTTTCGTGTGGATGTCAAAATTTGATTCCATTACCTATTTCGTTTTCAAGATCTAAATTTATAAGCCTCGAAAATGCGAAGAAAATTGGGATCGCAGAAAATCAGAAAGTGAACATCAAACGGCACGTACTCTGCAGATTCTGTTTGAGAAGCGTAAAGCGCAAGGCGTCTGCGCCAATCACCATCTCTGACGAAGTGCCAGAGCCATCGATCATTTCCGTAACGTCGATGACATTACCGCGAGACTTGCTCATTTTCTGACCTCGAGAGTCGCGCACCAAGCCATGAAGGGCAATTTGTCGAAACGGCAGCGCATCGGTCAACGACAGACTAAGCAGTACCATCTTGACTACCCAAAAGCCGAGAATGTCATGTCCGGTTTCCATAAGGCTCAACGGGAAGAGGTTATTGGCGGTGTTGGCCTTCGGATGAAAGTCTTTAGGCCAGCCAGCGACAACCAGAGGAACTAGGGCGGATGAGAACCACGTGTCCAGCACATCTTGTTCTTTCGTCATCACAACGATATCAGTCGAGTCGATGCCACTTGCTTTCAGACGCGCGTAAGCGTCTGACTCAGAACTGGCGACCACCCAGCTGCTTTTGTTGTTGACCATTTGCACTTTGTAGGCTGGTATACCATGTCCCCACCAGATCGACCTGCTCAAGCACCAGTTTTTGGACTGTGACAACCAGTGTCTGAAAAGGAATTCGTCATAGCACAATTCAACATACTCGCATAGTCGCCTAATTACTTCCACTCATTCCTGAACTTGTCCGGAAACACCTGAATGCCGTCAAGAGCTTCGGCAGCCCTCGCCATCAGGTCCTTGCAGTCTAAGAACCACTGCATCTTCAGCATTGGCTCAAGGATGTCCCCGCTTTTCGAACATACTGATACGCGCGTAT